ATGCAAGGGAGGACTTATTGTGTGCAGAGAGGATATATAGGAAGAGGGCAGGGGTTATGGTCACAGAGGATGAGGATGAGAATGAGGAAATGACCTCAGAGTCTAGGGGACCTCCCACTGCCCTTAGGTGCACCAGTTAGTTACTGGGTTACAGGTGCTGGGCAGACACTTCTAGAGAAGGTCCTGGGAGGACCTAACAGCATGGATATGCTGACCCCATGTTCAGACAAGCCATTCCTATCATACCCATTAGGTTCATCCACATCTATCAAGAATCCACTCTGTGTCATGCTGCCCAGGAAACTTAGCCTTTCTCCCTTTGCTACAAGGGGAAGCTGAGACCCCTCTCTCCCTATGTCTAGGCAAATGCTTAGGAGAGCAAGGATCTAATGGGATGACACATCACAACAATGATACTCACAAGACACTATGTAGGAAATGAACTTTACAACTTCTGTGGGGAGGGAGAGTGGGGGAGGTAGGGAGGGAAGGGAAAGTAGGAGAAAAACAAAGGAGGGGGTAACAATGTTGGACAAGAAATGTTCTCATAACCTTACTCATGTTACTGTAACCCCTCTGTACAGCATCTTTACAATAAAATAAAATTTTAAAAAAGATACATGGCTGACATAGCTAACTCTCTACTAGATCCTAATCTCTTTGAAATTATAGAAGCTTTACAGCCTGCCTCATGGAGTGATATGGTAGAACTATCCTTAAGTTTGTTTTCTATCCTCCTAGCCATGTCTCAGCCACTGAACAGCTGTATAATCAGAGTCAAGTCATTTAATCTGTTTGAATTTGCCTCTCTGTAAAGTGGGATTAGAGAGATTGTGAAGATTGCCTGTGCTAACCTATGGAGCATGTTTAAAATGTATGTGGGAGCATTTGGTAAATGCCAGCTAGGAACAGAACTTTGGCCAGAGCAGCAAATCTCTCTGATTCTGAACAGAGCAGCAGCATCAATGACCAAGATAAGATCCAACTTTGGAGATTTGTAGGGAACGCTTAATAATAGGATGGAATAAGCAGGGTCTAAATCCAGGTTTGTATAATTTGGACAACGCATGGTGCTTTTTGATCTTTATCCTCATCTTCACTTCCAAGACAGTTAATATCTATGAAAGTAAAACTATGCTATGCTGGATACTTGAGACCTAAAGGAGAACATGGAAATATTAGGAGACACAGCCTCACCATGCTAACCAAATGCTTAATTTTCCAATTTTAGAGGGAATTCTATTAACTCCATGGCAAGGCACTCTTTACCTATAGATACTGGTGATTTTGATTGACAGCTAAATATGTGGTTCTATAATAATAATTGCATTTTTATTTAAAAGTTCTATTTCTCAAACAAATGACTTTTTAAAGCATGTGAACCACAGGGGAGAAGATAATATGGGGTCAGGGTGGAAACAGAATCATAAGAGACTGGATGATCTCAAGTGCTTTTTGGCTCTACAGCTCAGGGAATTACTGAAAATTTCTCTAAGGCAATCACCTATAACAATTTATTTCACATTTAATTTTACTCTATGGCCTCAAGGGGAAAATGTCTTGCTCTAAAATTCAGAGAAAAAAATACAGAAGATCCAAATGAGATTCTAAAGAGTAAAATATGTAAAGGGGGAAAAGTTGGAAATGCTAGAACAAGAAAGAAATATAAATTTAAAAAATGTTTAAATGCCAATAGCAGAACCAACAAAAGAGGTTTAAGGGCTAATGTGGAAGTGGCAACACTAGACCATGGGAATATAAACTACTAAGTAAGTGTGGAGCTACTATTTATATATTCATTCCTACAGTTTGCAATGATGTGGTTAGTGCTAGATAATCAACAATGAGTTTTCTCTGTCTTTCATTTTGCTGGGAATTCTGGGCACATGTGGAAGCTCTTCCCAATCAGAGAGCAGTGTGATGCAAACCTACCACAGCTCCTGCAAACAAGGACAGTGGGAAGAGCTAAGAAACAAGTAGAAGAATGTTATATCTGTAAGAGAACAGACGTGCTGGTGGAAAGAGAACCAAAAGACTGAATGGTCTCCAAAACAAAGTGACAAGCAAATGTGAGTGAGCTCAGCTGAACCAAATGAGAAAACTGTGTTTTCTATATGATCATTCTTCCCATTTCCAGACCAACCAAATGAGAGCAAACAGAGGATATTTACTTAGAGCTTACTGTACTGAGGAAGTCAGTTACCATCACAAGCATTTTGGGGAGACTCAGGAAAGGCAAGAATGGAAAGCTCCCTAATGGAGGCCATTGGCATGGCAAAGATGCAAGAGCCAACAGAAGCAAAACATCCTATGACATTGCTTAGGGGTGCATATGATTTCTTGGACTGCTTGTTACAGGTCAGAGTTCAGTAGGTCAGAGTTCAGTTTTTATATATGGTCTTGCCATGATCCATTTGTACATTTGGTTTCTCAGTCTTCTTCAAGGTACTCTCAGAGCCCTGGAGAATTGTCTTCTGCACTATATGCAATGTCTCAAAATATGTAATAAAATTATATTTGCCCTCCAAAAAGTAACAAAAGTAACAAAAATTCAACCTTCTCTTTTGAACAGTAATATCTTTTGTGCTTCTTCTGTGTACTGATTTGCTTTCATACTATGGTTAATAAGTTATAGAAAAATGACTTAATAAATAAACCATTGGCAGATAAAAGTTTTCAAAACCCAGGATACAGCAGAGAAACAAGTTTTCAAAGGGCATTTAAATAAAGAATGCTTAAAAATACATCTTGATTTCAAATTCAGACATCTTTCCCCTCCAGACAACAGACTCAGGATGGTGTAGGGAATAAGTTAGAAAATTGTGAGTCTGCCCAAAGTAGCAAAGACCAAGTTCTGGAGTCAGCTCCAGGCTCCCCTTCCACTTCAAGCCCTCCCCAGGTGCTCACATATTAATATAGCATTCATGATGAGAAAGTAAGTACATGACAATAATCTGAGTCTAAGTAGCTAATTGTCAAGTGGGCCTGAACCCCATAATTTCCTGATCTTTAGAATAAAGCTCTAAATGCCTATTGAATTAAGGATCCAGGCACCACCGCTAGATCATTTCAAAGGATAAAAACTAATTTTGTTCTACTTGCTAATGGAAAGCATGTTTCTAGGATAGCTGCAGGATTTGGAGATTACATAAAAACTAACTTACAGTTAGTTTAACAATTTCTTTGGATAGGAATGCCCCTAACAAACTGGTATCCTCCCTCCTCACTTCTACCTCTCCCTTCCATCTGGTAAAATCCATTCTACACCCTATGACCCCAACAAAGGACTATCTTTCAGTGACATTTGATTCACAATTGGGTTCCAGAAGTGATTCAGTTCTTCCGGTCTGCATACTTCCTTGTGCAGACTATTAATAAATACTTGCACTGTAAACTGGGTGCCAGTGGTTTACACCTGTAATCTTAGCTACTCAGGAGGCTGAGATCTGAGGATTGCATTCAAAACCAGCCCGGGCAGGAACGTTCATGAAACTCTTATCTCCAATAAACCACAGAAAAAACCAGAAGTGGCACTGTGGCTCAGGTGGTAGAGCTCTCACCTTGAGCTGAAGAGCACAGGGACAGTACCCAGGCCCTGAATTCAAGCCCCACCACTGACAAAAAAAAAAAAAAAAAACTTGCACTGTGAGATCCAAGCATTTACATAAAACAATGACTTCCCCTTCACTATACTATGAATTTTTCAAGTCAAGTCTGTCTTGTTTTTCTTTTTCATCATTGAGCCATATTAACAGTGCTCCTCATGTTTATCATTTCTTCTCAGTCACATTAACCAGTGAAGGAAATCTGCTTATTCGGGCCTGCCTGATGAAATTTAGGCTCCAAGAGATCAATGGTTAGCCCAAGGTGCTAAAGCTAAGAGTTGACAAAGCTAGACACAAGCCAGCTCTCAGCAGTTTGTGAAGTTTTCATGCAATGTTTGGCCTCCAATGAACTCAAAGTGTGGCTTTCACACAGACAATAAAATAACTCCACACTGTTCCAGACCAGTCTCTGTCAGAACAGCTCATTTTGTGATGCTACGAGGCAGGTTTGCAAATCATGCTTGAAGTTCATGCAAACTCCTAATAATCAAGACCATTGGTTGGTTACACACAGTGCCCTGCTCTCTTTATTTTCTCTTGTAAAAATTTCCCATCCATATTTTTAAAAGTTTTCTCAATGATCACATTCGTTTTAATAAGAAAAGAAGGCACACATCTACAAAACAGGATCACTAGCATTACTGATAACACAAGGTACCAATTCTATGCCTTCAGCCTCCTCCAACCTCAGAGGGTGAGAAATTACTGTGTGCAATCTTCATTGTTTAAAATGAGGGCCTTTGTAGCTGGAGGGTATACATATTCCACTCATTAAGAAAAGTAACCATGCTGAGAGGAAGGAATATTCACTTCATCAGTCTTCGCTTTGGCTTAGCAGATATAAACCCTTTCGCTGACTTTATCTCCTCAAAGCAACTTTCTAGATGTCATCTGTTTTCCCAAGTAAATATTCCTTTAGGGAGAGGGAGCGCTGATCAAAAGGCCTGAGTGTCTTTATTTGCAAGATATGTATAATGTTCATTATAAATTAACAAACTGACATTCTGTTCTACATAGCAGAGGAAACATAACCTACGTAAAGAACAAAGCATCTAATATTTCTGACAGATTTGCCCCTCAGGTCGTTTTTTCCCAACATTTTGTCCTTTTATAGCTTTGCCTCCTGTCACCCAGCCTTGCTCAGTCCCAGCACTCTGCACTTTCTCTCTTTACATGGCCTCAATATGGTATTAGACACACCTCCAGTACTGGCAATTTCCGACAGGACAGAAAAACACAAACAGATAAAAAGGACTTGTTGACATGCAGTATTTTCTGCAATACTGAGTATGAACTACGTCAACTTACTTTGCTTTGCCATAAATCTGAACATTCCTGGAACTGCAAAGTTCTCAGCAAATCACCTGAGGTTATCACATGGCACCAGATACTCACATTTTCTGACCGGAGCCTCTTAGCAGGACATCCTCCATCTCTAGGGTGAAGCATATAATAGAGTCGGACTTTGCTTGCATGCTTTCGACTCTGGGGAGGAAAAGCAGAAGGAGATACTGTGAAAGAGAAGTCATTTGAGAAAGGAAGAGGAAAAATCTTTTGAAACACAGCCAGTGACTGTAAATGCAAACTATTTTTCAGTAGAAAACACTTTTGAGTGCTCCGGTGAGACATGTGGCAAATAGTTTCAGATAGATTAAGTGGCTGGTCCAAAGTCCTAAAACCAATATCATTTCAGGAAAAACAGAAAAAAACTTGAGATTGTTTAACCTGGAGTGAATCATGTTTTTAATTCTTCTCCAAAGTAAGATGGGTAAGCAGAGGAAGCAACATAAGAATCAACTGTGATGAAAAGAGCAGCAGGAGGATTATTTCTGTCTCTCTCACTTACTTGTCCTACCCTGAAGGTCAGGGTGCAAGGTAGGGAAGTCACGCATGCATAGCACTCACAGAAGCTTGCTTCCAGTTCTACCAAACTGAAAGAAAAGAAGTCATCAAGAGACATTCTCTAAGGTCTGATTTGAACAAGCAAAAGGTAGGATAAAGAGATGCAGGTAAAGGCCCACCACCTGGGCATTTCAAGTTATACTGGTCTGCTCAAGGCCAACATAGAGAAACTTCTCCCTTTCATCCTTTCTCTTACTCTTTTCCTTAACTGAAAGCCCAGTCTAGTTCTTAGCATTTTGGAGAATATTTCAATTCTAACTTCTGTGCTTTCCTTTACGCACAATGGTAGAGTGAAAGAGCAACAAGAATAAGCATTCCAAAGTTCAGCATCCCAGTTCCAGCTGTACTGCTTTCTAGCTGTGTTATGACAGAGAGTAGAATGTATTTAGAGTCTAAATGAATATTATTTTCTCCAAGCACAAAATGAGCATTACAATATTTCTTAGAGTTGTACTGAGAATCAAAGAAGACAGTACATATGAGAATTTAGAATTTGCATAACACTAAACTTTTCTTACTGTACTGATCCTTAATATTATTGAATCAACTACTATCTGATTCCAATCCCTTTCCCATTTTACTTTCTTAGAAATTATTTTCTTCTTTTCAAGATCTTTGTTCCACTTAGCCATTATTTACAGTTGAGGCCTAGCCAATCTCCAGGATGATAGTTTACTTTTATGGATTAGCCACAAAGGCAAAGTGATTTTTCAGAGAAAATACAGCAAATGCATCCTTTTTAAAGGATACACTATAAATCCTTTCTGTTAGCTTTCCTCATTCATCACTTTCTTAAATCTTGTATTCTGCCTAGAGCAAGAAAACTATGTTTTTAAACAGTCCCTGGAAACTTTTAAGACCTTTAAATAGGTTTAAAATTACTAATAGAACATGAGAAATTTTTACACATGTATAAAAGTATCAAAGGGTAATTTGAAATCTACTGCCAACACTTGAGGCTATTTCTAGATCTCATAGTAGGTTTTAATTTAAGTTATATAAAGTCTTGTTGTTGTTACTTGTAAAATTGATAAGACAGAGAAATAGAAATCTATATAGGCATGGGTCAGAGGATTTAATATCATCATTCAGCTTCTGCATTTAAAAAAAAATTTATTGTGAAAATACCATACAGAGGGGTTACAATTACATGGGCAAGGTAATGAGTACATTTCTTATCAAGCATTGTTGCTTCCTCCTTTGTTTCCCCTTCCCATCCCTTCCCATCTCCCCCACACACACCTCCACCACCCTTGCCAGGCCAAAGTTGTAAAATTCGTTTTTCAACATAACGACTTGTACATCTCATTGTTTCAATGGGTACACCTGTATCCCTATTTAAACAGTTTGTTTTTGCCCTTCCCCTCTACAAATTATACCAACATTAAATACAATGAAAGCATGGGTTATACCATGGGGGAGGGAACAATCTAGTACAAACTAGATTTTTAAATGTTTTTGTTAATAAAACATATATAGAAATATATTTGCTACCATCCTGTTGGGTTTTAGAAGAAGTAGGATATTATTAGAAATATTAATATAGTCCAAAAAATAAAATGAACATTTAAACACAACCCGAAAGACTGAATGCAAACACAGACCATAAGCTATAGAAAAGCATACACATAGTTAAGTGGTTAAAAAAAAGAAAAAGTGGTACTCTATGAGCTCAAATATGACCAATGTAGCTTTCAATTTTTCATTTGTTATTGCAGAAAATGTCTCATCCAAGATCCTGAGTCATCAATCCACTTAAAGCCCTAGATTCCCAGAGAACAAAATGATGGCACAATTGAAAATCTAATAATGTGGCCTATTTTGTGGCTGACTTTTTTTCTTTCCCAAAATACTGCATTTCTTTCCAAAAGACTTTTCAGCAAAGGCAAAGTTCACCAAGTTATTTAATTGCAGTTTCACAAAACTAGTAAAAACCCATTAGTTAAAAAGAAAAAGCAAATAAATGACAGGCTCTTCTCTAAAGCCATCAGTGATGAGAGAGGCTGGGATTTAAGGCTTATTAGCAATCGATAATTAGAGGCCTGTTTTTCTTCTCAGTTCCCTTCCCATCCTGCACATATGGCAGAAGAAGGTCTGATTATATACAAGTAGGCCCTTGCCATATATTAAGGATGAAGAGTTTTGGCAAATACCAACTGCTTCTGAAGTGGTAAAGTAGACATCATTTTCCCTCCTTTGTTTTCTCCAGACTCCCTAAACCAGGTCCATTTCCTTCTCAATTTGCAAGCCAAACCTGGCTTCCAACAGCAAGTACACATAACAGATAGCCCACACTGAACAGTAAAAACAGTCTCTTTCCCCATTAGGCTGATTCAAATCCAGAGTTGCTTCCAAATTATGTTAATTGACAGAGGGAAATAGTTTCCAAGTATTGCAAGATGTGTTACAACTTACCCCACCTCCAATATGGGGCCTTCAACATGATCTAAGAGTCATTTCCCTTCTTCCTGGCATTACTTGTTCTTTTTTTAAAAAGTTAATTTTATAGTGAAGGTGATGTATGGAGGGGTTACAGTTACATAAGTAAGGTAATGGGTACATTTCTTATTACCTCCTCCCTCCTGTTCTCCCACATTCCCTCCCCCTGACTCCCCTTCCCCCAAATTGGAAAGTTCATTTCCAACATAGTGTCTTGTGAGTATTGTTGCATTGGTTCAACTTTGTCCTTTGTCTCATCATTTTGTGGTTCCCCTTGCCTTCCCCTAATCAGATAAATGTATGTACAAGACACAGGGTACCAAAATCACAAACAGTGACAAAAGGGGATAAATTAACAGAAAAGAAAAAATATTAAAGAAAAAAGAAATAACAGCACACTAAAAACAACAACAACAATAAAACCCTGCTTGTTTCCATATCTTGGAGTTCATTTTGATTAGCATCATTTTATATGGTCATAGGTACTTAGCTATTGAGCTATTATGAGCCTCTGCCAGGACTATCATAGACATATACTAATTGTTACAAAGGACAGACACCATAGAATCTATGTTTCTTTGGGTCTAGCTTACTTTACTTACAATGACTTTTTCTAAATCTTTCCATTTCCTTATGAATAGGTAGATGCCATTCTTTCTGATGGAAGCACAGAATTCTATTGAGTATATATACCACATTTTCTTGATCCATTCATCTACTGAGGGGCATCTAGGTTGGTTCCATAGCGTAGCTATGGTAAATAATGCTGCAGTGAACATAGCTGTGATGGAGTTTTAGTGTGGGCTTATTTGTGATCGTTTAGGTAAATGCTCAGAGTGAGATTGCTGGATCCTAGGAGAACTCTATGTTTATTCTTTTGAGGAACCTCCATACTGCTTTCCAGAGTAGTGGAACCAGTTTCCCTTCCCACCAACAGTGTACTAGGGTTCCCTTTTGTTCCATTCCCTGGCAAAATCTGTTACTATTTGTTTCCTTGATAATGGCCATTCTAACTGAGGTGAGGTGGAATCTCAATGTTGTTTTGATTTGATTTTCTTCTATGGACAGAGATGATGAACATGTCTTCATGTGTCTATTAGACATTTTTATTTCTTCTCCAGAGTAATTACTTTTTAATTCTTTAGCCCACTTATTAATGGGGTAGTTGTTTCTTTGAGGATTTGTTAATTTTTTTGGACTGTAGGTGTATTTTTGATATAAAGCCCTTGTCTGTTGTATAGCTAGTGAAGATCTTCACCCAATCTGTGGGCTTTCTAGTTATCTTGCTAGCTATGTCCTTTGTCATCCAAAAAGTCTTCAATTCAATGTGAACCTGTTTTACCAATCTTTCTTTAATTCGTTGTGTTTCTGGATCTTTATTTAGGAAGTTTCAACCTGTGCCAAGGAGCACTAGTGTATTCCCTATCCCTTCCTGTAATATTTTCAGGGTATTTGTTCTTACCTCAAGGTCTTTGGTCCATCTGGAGTTGATTCTAGTGCAGGGTGATATATAAAGATCAAATGTCAGCTTTTTACACATGTATAGCCAATTCTGCCAGCACCATTTGTTGAAGAGGCTATCTTTCTTCCCTTATCAAAGATTAGGTGGCCATAGGTATGTGAGATCATTTCTGGGTCTTCAATTCTATTCCATTGGTCATCGGGCCTGTTCATATGCCAGGACCAAGCTGTTTTTACAACTACAGTATTATAATAGAGTTTGAAGTTTGGTACTGATATTTCTCCAGCACTGTTTTTCCTACTAAGGATTGTTCTTGCTAGTTGGGGTCTTCTATTATTCCATATGAATTTTTGGATTGCTTCTTCTATTTCATTAAAGAATATTGTTGGGATATTGATGGATTTTGCACTGAATTTGTGTGTAGCTTTTGGCAGTATTTCCATTTTTACTATGTGAATCTTCCCAATCCATGAACACTGGAAGTTTTCCACTTCCTTAAATCTGCTTTCATTTATTTTTTCAGGTTTCTGAAGTTTTCATTATAGAGGTCCTTCACCTCTCTGTTAAGTTCATTTATAGGTGTTTTTATGATTCTTTTGAGGCTATTACAAATGGAGTTTCTTTTCTGATGTTAGCCTTGCTCTTCTCATTGTTGGCATACAGAAGAGTTACTGGTTTTGTG